CCAGAAGGACCGCAAGGGAGAGCAGGAAAACCAGGAAATCCTGGAGCAGCTGGGCTCCCAGGAAATCCAGGACGACCACCATTACAACCATGCGAACCAATTACTCCACCACCATGCAACCATGTCCTCCTGGGCCGCCAGGTGAACCTGGTCCAGAAGGACAAATGGGGGAAATGGGACCATCCGGAGAATCAGGAGAGCCGGGACCCGATGGACCAGTGGGAAAAGAGGGTACGAAAGGTGAGGAAGGTGAACGAGGTCCGGCGGGACCTCCTGGACCGCCTGGTGAACAAGGCAAAGACGCATCGAGTGAAACACTTTAGCCAGGAGAACCTGGTCCTCCAGGTAGTACTTTTTCCTGACTTTGCAATTTCTGACAACATAAAATTCCACTGAATACGTTACATTTTAATGTCACATTGTGCGATTTTAAGGTGATCAAGGATCAAAAGGGCCACCGGGAAAAGCCGGAAAGCCAAGCAAGGATGGAGCAGTCGGGGCGCCAAGACCCAAAGGAAATCCTGGTGAAGATGGCAAACCAGGTAATGACAGAAAACAAGGTGAACGAGGACCAACTGGCACACCTGGCTCAGTTGGTGAAAAGGGTCTCTGTCCAAAATATTGTGCAAATGACGGTGGCGTTTTCTTCGAAGATGGTTCACGTCGTTGATAGCTATTTTTTGTTAATTTAAACAATAATTTTTCGTAAAATTCATTTCAACGTATTTGTCTTTCATTAGTACCTCAAATGAATAAATGCTGGCCAATAAAATTTCATCGATGCCTAATTCGGAACTCTCATGAAGACAAAAAAATTTCAGTTTTCTTTTATTTTAATAAGAAACTGGAAAAAAATTTATAAATTCAGGAAAACAGGAAATTTTAGCCAATTTACATAACCACAGAAACAGCGTATGTTGCGATACTATCATTTTTGTCTGACTAAAAGAAAAAAAAAAATTGATTTTTTTCTCTTTGATAAACGAGAAAGTAAAATTGTACTAAATTTAACTAAGAGTTGGAAATAGGTTGATTGAAATGGAAGAAAAATTGAGGCGAAATAAAATTTGATTTGAATAAATCAAATTCATCAAACTAATTGATAAATATCTCTTTAAAATTAAATCAATTGGTTTCCGATTTATAATCACAACAAACAAAAAATCAATAATCAAGTTTTACGAATGTTAGAAGGGAAAGAATGGGACAAAATAAGAAAGGTGAAAAAGTGTAAAAATTTTGGGAAATAAAAAAATGCACGGCATCAATAATGAAGCAATTTTTTCCCTTTTTCTTTTCTTTTTTTTTCAAATAAACATTCAACTATTATATTTCAGTTTTTGGATTCCGGATATACTGTTCATGTTAGTTCCAGAAATCAATAATCGAGTTAAATCGTTAAAATATGATCCTTGTGTACACACATTTATGTTGTGATAGTTCAATTAAACTTGGTAAAACGGGTAAGAAGTGATTGATGAGGTGTTTATACATTTTCAACGATTTGTTGGAATGCAGAGAGTAAGTGAAAATTTTGGAAA